GGAGTTCCTGGGTGTGTTTTGAGAAAGGTAGCTATTGAAGTTGGTTTCCATGGGAGGAGCATGCAGCATGCATGCAGGCCCCAGGGTGGAGGCAGTATACACATCTAGATGTGTATAAGAGACAGATACCTGGCCTGACCTGGGACTTTTAAATGGCATTTGAGCTTGGTAAAGGGGACTGTTTTGATCGGGTCGGTAGCCCCATCTGAATGTTTTACACAGATTTCGAAATCGGATAGACCTGGGCTTATGCCCCAGTGCTGTCCCCTACTGGCCAAGCGTTATCCTCTAGAGGCCTCAGTTTCTTCTTGTGTAAATGAGTTAAGCAGGATTCAGTGAGATCACGGGTGTGGAGCGCTCAGCATCTTGTTGGCAACTGGAGCCCAAAAGACGTCAGCTGCTGTTATTTTAATTGGTGATGGAGGGAGAGCGGATGGATGGATGGAGCACGTGGTTGTTACAAGATGCTGAGGGCCTGGCCCAGTGGCTCAAGTTCGTAATCCCGGCACTTTGGGAGGCTGAAGTGGGTGGATTGCTTGAGTCCAGGAGTTTGAGACCAGCCTGGCCAACATGGCAAAACCCTGTCTCTAAGGAAAAAAAAAAAACAAAAAAAAACTAACCACCACCACCAACAAATGTTATCCGGGCATGGTGGCTTGCACCTGTAGCCCCAGCTACCTCGAGGGCTGAGGTGGGAGGAGCCCTTGAGCCTGGGAGGTTGAGGCTATGGTGAGCTGAAATCGTACCACTGCACTCCAGCCTGGATGACAGAGTGAGACCCTGTCTCAAAAAAAAAAAAAAAAAAAAAAAAAAAAAAAAAAAAAAAAAAAAAAGATGCTGAGGCCCTGAGCTAAGGGATGAATGTCAGGACGATGGGAGAGAGGTGGTGTAGGCTCAGTTTGGTCTTTATGGCAGATCTGAGTGGTCCCTGAGTAAGGAACTGGGGTGCCATCGTGAATCCATCTGGCTCCTAAGCTGTGCACCTGGAGGGCCCAGTAAGGAGTAGGGAAGACCTGTAGGTTCAGGCCAGGGGGCTGGAAGAATGTGTTTACTCAGCTGTTTATTTACCACTCTGTATGCCCATGACATTTTCACCCTGGAAAGTGGGAGACAAGGAGGTTAGGCTTCTGCAGAGGCTGAGTCCTGGTCCACTGAAGCTGTCAACATCCTCCAAAGATAGGAGCCTTTCCCTCCAGGAGCTATTCCTCTCCCTCCAGGAACTATTCCCAGCAGTAAAATTCTGCCTAGGCAAACTTGGTGGACTGAAGACTTGACACGTTTTGCCACTTATTGCAGTCTTTGATTCCAGAATAGTGATTGGCAGGGGGAATGGTGCTTCTGAAACAAGCAGGGGAAGCTGCTGTTCCACAAGGGGCACGAAGTGGGTGTTTACGTCCAGGCTTACCTTGGAGGAGGAGGAGGAGGAGGAGCCAGTTGCTATGGCAGCCTCCTTCCCCTATGGGATGCTCAGAGGTGAATCAGAGGCTGAGGTGGGGTCCACAGATTGGGGATACAGTCCCCTCCCCACTTGGGGACATGCCAGGCAGAATCTTTGGTTGCTGCAGAATGGGAAACCGACTGCTGCTTCTCAGCTGAAGTTGGATGCTATCTATTTGTTTGAGCTGGCCGGGTGTGGTGGCTCACGCCTATAATCCCAGCACTTTGGGAGGCTGAGGCAGGCGAATCACTTGAGGTCAGGAGTTCAAGACCAGCCTGGCCAACATGGTGAAACCCTGGCTCTACTGAAAATACAAAAACTAGCCAGGCATGGTGGTGCGTGCCTGTCGTCCCAGCTACTTGGGAGGCTGTGGGACGAGAATTGCTTGAAACCCGAAGGCCGAGGTTGCAGTGAGCCAAGATCGCACCATTGCACTCCAGCCTGGGCAACAGAATGAGACTCTGTCACACACACAAAACCATCATCTGAGTATTCAAGGATATAATTTACCTCCAAAAGTAAGGTGAGAGGAAAGAGATGCAGAGGAAGAGTTGACGAATAACCAGCACATTAATATGTACGATAGCCCATCTGTGTGTGGACATGTAGTTGTATAAGTCATACTAGCAGTGTTCTTACAGAGTCTTCCAAAGAGTAGCCCAATTAAAGCGGAAGAATTGGCATAATCTTATGAATCTGCACGGCCAACATAAGCTAGCAAAATAATAACTCAAGCTGGATTTTGACCAAGTTATCAAGTTCTATCCCGTTAGTCTCATGTTCAGGGTACCAGCGTGTCTACATGGTCTCTAGGCTGACTTTACAGCCATCTAAGAGGGCTCATGCTTCATCTTCTTGGGGTTGGGGCCAACCCTGCTGTCAGGAATGTCTTCTGTTTTCTTTGGTACCCTCTGCTGTGCTGCTATTTTTTTTGTTTGTTTTATTTTTTTAAAAAATAGATGAGCTGGGCAAGGTGCAATGCATCTGTGGTCCCAGCTACTTCAGAGGATCACTTGAGCCCAGGAGTTCAAGTCCAGCCTGGGCGACATAGCCAGACCCTGTCTCTTGAAAAAAAAATTTTTTTAAAATAGGTGAACATAATTTTTAGAGCAAATGTTCACTTTTTTTTTTTTTTTTTTTGAGACAGAGTCTCACTCTCTCACCCAGTCTGGAGTGCAGTGGCGCCATCTTGGCTCACTGCAAGCTCCACCTCCTGGGTTCATGCCATTCTCCTGCCTCAGCCTCCCAAGCAGCTGGGATTATAGGCGCCCGCTGCCACGCCGGGCTAATTTTTTTGCATTTTTTTTAGTAGAGACGGGGTTTCACCATGTTAGCCAGGATGGTCTCGATCTCCTGACCTTGTGATCCTCCCACCTCCACCTCCCAAAGTGCTGGGATTACAGGCGTGAGCCACCGCACCCAGCCCAAGTGTTAACTTTTTAAAAAACTCCTCAAGAAATAAGTTACTTTCCTTTCACAAAAGAGTAAAACTAATGTCCTTTCTTGCCTCTTTCACCCCAGCAGGCATGTACCCTGTAGATGTTTTGGAAGATGACCCTGACACATATCAGGAAGCAGCTCTGGCTTACTATGCTTCACTTAGGGAAGGAGCTGGGGCCTCATCTGGGGTTTTCTGTCTTCCCACTGGGGTGAAGGTATGCGTGATCCTCCTTGGCGAAGAGCTCTGTAAAATCTAATTTACAGAGTAGAATGTTATTGAAAGAATAAAATAGATTATAAAAAAAAAAAAAAACCAACCCCTTCTGGAGTGAGTATTAGAATAAGCACACCCTGAGAAGCAGAATGAATCCTGCATTGGGATTCTGGAGTCCAGAGTGTGAGTCCAGAGCTGCCAGGCAGTGAGCCAGACAGCCTGTGTGAATGTCTACCACTCACTTACTAGCTGTGTGACCTTGAGCGAGTGTCTTAACCTCTCTGGCCTTGGTATTGGCATCTCTAGACTGGCGACGATAACAGCACATACCTTATGGTGTTGTTATGAGAATTAAGTGAGATACTGTGTGTGATGCCCAGCTACCTTGGTTTCCCCATTTGTAAATGAGGGGATTGGTTGGTCTTCAGTCTCTAAGGTTTGATTCAGTTCCAAAACTTTGTGATTCAGAATGAAGTTATATCAATTTTGATTTTTAGCACTGATAAAATTCTATGCATTGTGAGTAGGGACTGGAAAGCAACAGAGAGAAATGAAAACCATTTGTTAGGACAGTAGGATTGTGGGTGAAATATTAAAATTGTGTTACTTTTAAGATCTTTATTTCCCTCCCTGCAGTAAGTAAAAAGAATATGTAAATCTTAGTCAATACCTATGTCAGCTACCTTTCTTTCACATTTGAGGCTGATCTGTTGAAAGAGACCAAGTTTTCTTGTTTTGTACGGATACAATTTCACTCATACCAGATATTGTTATCTGGCAGGCAAAGTTGGTTGAGAAAGACAGGATTTTATTTCACTGCACTGAAGTTGTTCCTGAGTTAATGAAAACAATGGCTTGTACAGTTTATTGTGTGGCTTCCTTGAGATTTTGGAGATGCTAGCTCGCAGTCATTCCCTGAAGAATCCAGCGCTCACCCGTGATCAAAAGCCTCCACATTTTTGATCTGCAGAGGGAGGTCGCTTTCCTCACACGCTTCTAGCGCCCCCTAGTGGCTGTTAAGCCAAAAAGGCGAAAGCTCTGTCAAAGATAGGGGCTGTCTTAGTGAGCCCGGGTCGTGAGGGGCAGGGTTGCCTGGAGTATAGGGGTGCTACATCATCTCGGAAGTGGGGAGAATTACAAGAGTTAGCCCTGAAGTACTTTAGGATGCGGTTTCAATCATCTGCTTTTATTTCACACGTATTTATGGATTACACCCCACCCGAATATGTAGTATGCTCAGTGAGTGAAGAATTTTAGTGTTATTGGCAACAACATAAGACAGCTATTAAGATTAAGTTGTTTTAATGTGATAGAAATGCGAAATGACTATACCTATTTCCCTTTTCCCTTTCTAAAAAATGAAAATTTCGGCTGGGTGCAGTGGCTCACGCCTGTAATCCCAGCATTTTGGGAGGCAGAGGCGGGCAGATCACCTCAGGCCAGGAGTTCAAGACCAGCCTGGCCAACATCGTGAAACCCCATCTCTACTAAAAATTAAAAAAAAAAAAAAAATTAGCCGGGTGTGGTGGTGGGCACTTGTAATGCCAGCTACTTGGGAGGTTGAGGCAGGGGAACTGCTGGAACCCCGGAGGCAGAGGCTGCAGTGAGCCAAGATCGCACCACTGCACTCCAGGCTGGACAACAAAGGGTGAAACTCTGTCTCAAAAAAAAAAAAAAAAGAAAGTTTCATGAAAACAATCATTTGATTTCCTACTGTTTTACTATTTTTGTAGTTAATAACAAATGGGAGGCCAGGCGCGGTGGCTCACGACTGTAATCCCAGCACTTTGGGAGGCCGAGGCGGGTGGATCACGAGGTCGGGAGATCGAGACCATCCTGGTCAACATGGTGAAACCCCGGCTCTACTAAAAATACAAAACATTAGCTGGGTGTGGTGGCGCGTGCCTGTAATCCCAGATACTCAGGAGGCTGAGGCAGGGGAATGGCTTGAACGTGGGAGGTGGAGATTGCAATGAGCTGAGATCGCACCACTGCACTCCAGCCTGGGCAACAGACAGAGACTCCATCTCAAAAAGAGACAGAAATGGGAGCTGTCTTCTGCCATTTAAGATGTTGAAATAGTCTGATTTGGAATAGTATTGGACCTCCTCATTGCTTTTCAAAGGTTTAACTTTTCTTTTTGAATGTAGAGAAGCTTTTCAAAACAAAAAGAAAGATAAGGAAGTGATTTGAGGATACATCATGGCATTTCACTTTGGTCCCCCTAAAAATATTTCCTTCTGATAATTAACTCTTTTTCCAGTATTGAAATTGTCCTATCACATTTAAAATACAATAATATTAATGCTTCCCGATTTTTCTGATTATAAAACAGTACATGCTCGTCATTTAATGTTTAGAAACTGTTACAAAGGATGGGGAAAATAAAATCATCCATAGTTAACTGCTGTGAGTATTTTGATGTGTTTGCTTTTGACTTTCGTGTTTTTGCATTTCTTAAAACATAGGTGAGATTACTCTCTGAATACAATGTGGTTTATAACAAGCCTCTTTTTCTTTTCTTTTTTCTTCTTCTTTTTTCTTTTTTTTTGAGGCAGAGTCTCTCTCTGTTGCCCAGCCTGGAGTACAGTGGTGTGATCACGGCTCACTGCAGCCTCCACCTCTCAGGCTCAAGTGATCCTCCCACCTCAGCCTCCCAAGTAGCTGGTACTACAAGAATGTGCCACCACGCCCAGCTAATATTTTACTTTCTGTAAAGATGGGGTCTCACTATGTTGCCCAAGTTGCTTTCAAAGTCTTGGGCTCAAGTGATCACTGAGGCCTCCCAAAGTGCTGGGATTACAGCATGAGCCATTGTACTCAGCCGTCTTTCCATGTTGATCCAGTGCTTTTTAATGTTGGGTTTAATGGCCTGTAACAACTGGCTTGTGGATGAACCATGTTGCACACAACCTTTTCAGGAGGGCCAGCTTGGAGACTCTTCATTAAAGTGACGCCGAAGACCAAGACATTTATAGATTGCAGGATTTGTTAAGAAATAGTTCTCTGAAACTGTGGAGGTCTGCTGTCAACTGATTTGAAACAAAGTTTTGTTCTTGTCGCTGAGGCTGGAGTTCAGTGGCACCATCTCGGCTCACTGCAACCTCCGCCTCCCAGGTTCAAGCGATTCCTCTGCCTCAGCCTTCCGAGCATCTGGGATTACAGGCGCCCACCACCACGCCTGGCTGATTTTTTTTTTTTTTTTTTTTTTTGTATTTTCAGTAGAGAAGGGATTTTGCCATGTTGAGCAGGGTGGTCTTGAACTCCTAAGCTAAGGTGATCTGCCCACCTCGGCCTCCCAAAGTGCTGCGATTATAGGCATGAGCCACCGCGCCCGGCCGCTATCAACTTTTAACAAGCATTCTGCCTGCCTAGCTCAGCCAATGTGTTCTTTTGTAATTTTCTTATACCGTTCTTGGTTTTCAAAACAGACTTGGTACCAGAGCACACTGACCTTTTTCATTTGATGACCACAAAGAGGGCTTTGGATATGGACATTTGCGAGAAGCCTCTGGGACAATCTCAGTATTAGAGACACTGGTTTCTCTCTCATATGACAAACAAGTGCCCAAAGTTGAGCTTCTCTGTGCCAGGGCTGACAGGGAACCTGGACTGGGCCTGCAGGGCCCAGAGAACATGTTAATTTCTTTCTTTTTCTTTCTCTCTTTCTTTTATGAGACAGTGTCTCACTCTGTTGCCCAGACTTGAGTGCAGTGGCATGATCTCGGCTCACTGCAACCTCTGCCTCCCAGGTTCAAGTGATTCTCCTGCCTCAGTCTCCCAAGTAGCTGGGATTACAGGCACGTGGCACAACCACCCGGCTAATTTTTGTATTTGTAGTAGAGATGGGGTTTCACTGTGTTGACCAGCCTGGTATTGAACTCCTGACCTCAAGTGTTCCAACTGTCTTGACTCCCAAAGTGCTGGGATTACAGGTGTGAGCCATTGCGCATGGCCAAAGGTGTACATTTCTTGAGACTGCTTGCTGGACTAAGCCAGGGCAGCAGGCAGCCTGAGTGGCATCCCAGGAGGAGGCGGGCATGTCCCAGGCTGTGTCCATACAGTGGCCACTGGGACCCTGGGAGAAGAGCTGGGCCCGAGATGGGCAGATTGGGATCCAGAAGACTGCTGCAGTAGAAAGTGTTTGGAAGGGAGAGCTGAAGGGCAATTGGCGGACAAGTAGGTGTCTAGCTGACACATGGATAGATGGACATGTGGATGTGGGAAAGAAAAGGTGTGCTGGGTGGGAGATGCGAGAAGTTTTTGAAATTCCCCTTGTGTTTAGCTCAGCAGGGGTAAGGTTTCCATTTTTGTGGTGGCTATGTTCTGTCAAATTAAGCCTGTGTTCTGTGCAACAGTCTTCTTTCAATGCACACCATGCTAATTAATGTTAAGTAAATTCGCATGCCTGTATTATGATGAAATAACAAAATGGTTATTTTATTATTTTTTCAGGTGAAACTTGAAGCTTCATATGTCTGTTTTTGCATGGTACACCTTGATGAACCTCGACGTAAGATACCGGTTTTGGTTAATTCCCAGGACGCAAAGACAGGTTGCTGGTCATTAATGGATTTCAAAAACGGGCATCTTGACCTCATCATAAACAATGGATGGAATCAAATCCCTAGGAGATGATGGTTGTGCTCATAGGCTGAACTTAGAAGGACATGAAAGCAGAATTGATTTATTGTCAGCTTTTAGGGATCCAGTAGTGCATTCGTATTTCTGTTTATTGACATATATATTGTTGTTGCTTTTTTGTTTTTGTTTTTGTTTGTTTTTTTTTTGAGACAGAGTCTCACTCTGTCACCCAGGCTGGAGTGCAGTGGTGTGATCTCAGCTCACTGCAATCTCCACCTCCCAGGTTCAAGTGATTCTCCTGCCTCAGCCTCCCAAGTAACTGGGACTGGAGGCACCCGCCACCACGCTCGGCTAATTTTTTGTATTTTTAGTAGAGATGGAGTTTCACTGTGTTAGCCAGGATGGTCTGGATCTCCTGACCTCATGATCCGCCCACCTTGGCCTCCTAAAGTGCTGGGATTACAGGTGTGAGCCACTGCACCCAGCTTTTTTTTTTTTTTTTTTTTGGTGAGACGGAGTCTCACTCTGTTGCCCAGGCTGGAGTGCAGTGGCCGGATCTCAGCTCACTGCAAGCTCCGCCTCTTGGGCCCAAGCGATTCTCCTGCCTCAACCTCCTGAGTAGCTGGGACTATGGGTGTGCTACCACGCCTGGCTAATTTTTTTGTATTTTTAGTAGAGATGGGGTTTCACCATGTTGGTCAGGCTGGTCTTGACCTCCTGACCTCAAATGATCCTGCCTGCCTTGGCCTCCCAAAGTGCTTCGATTACAGGCGTGAGCCACCACGCCTGGCCTGTATATTGGTTTTTGCATTAAAAGACATGAGAACTGCCTCTTGCCCACAGCAGCAGGCCTCAGAGCTGCTGTCGAGGTTGGCGCTTGCTGTTCTTATTAACAGCGTGCAGAATTGCAAGTGCTGAGTGGGGTTCTTTTGTTGGTGCGTTACCACAGCCCTGTGCAGCCAGGGGACCATTCTCATCCCCCACATTCAAACGAGGACATGCGGCCTCAAACGAGGACATGCGGCCTCTGAGAGGTCGAGTAACTGACCTAAGACCACACAGTTAGAGCATGGTAGGGATTTTTTTGCAAGGTGATGATTGGGTGGGGTTTTGTTTCTGGTGGTGAAGTTTAGGTAATCTGTAACTCATTTATTATTCCTTTGTATTATGGAGAGACCATTTGTGGCTGGCATTCATATCCTTGGAGTGAGTCCTCTGGAGAAGAGGCACCACCAGGCTCCATGGCATCTGGGGCAGAGGCTGGGGGCTGTGGCAGTGGGCAGTGTGAGGTGGGGAGCAGAAAAGGGGTGCAGCCCATCTGTCCTCCCTGAGAAGAAGTGAAGGAACTCGTTTCAGTGAGAGCTCTCAGTTTAATTTTAATCCTATGCAGAAATTTTCTCCTCTCTTATACCTATAGTTTATCTTGTGTTTTGCAGATCTCTTACAATGGCTGTGTACTGCTTTCCTAATAAGAAATAATAATAATACATCTTAATTGGTGATATGGTTTGGCTGTGTCCCTGCCCAAATCCCACCTTGAATTGTAGCTCCCATAATTCCGAGGTGTTGTGGGAGGGAGCTGGTAGAAGATAATTGAATAATGAGGGCAGTTTCCCCCATACTGTTCTCGTGGTAGTGAATAGGTCTCACAAGACCTGATGGTTTTATTTTTTTATTTTTTAATTTGTTTGGGGGGATGGAGTTTTGCTCTTGTTGCCCAGGCTGGAGTGCAGTAGCACAATCTCAGCTCACTGCAACCTCCACCTCCTGGGTCAAGCAATTCTCCTGCCTCGGCGTCTTGAGTAGCCGGGTCTACAGGCCTGTGGCACCAAGCCCAGCTAATTTTTGTATTTTTAGTAGAAACGGGGTTTCACCGTGTTGGCTAGGCTGGTCTCGAATTCCTGACCTTAGGTTATCTGCCCGCCTCGGCCTCCTAAAGTGCTGGGATCACAGGCGTGAGCCACCATGCCTGGCTGATCTAAGGTTTTGTAAGGGGTTCCCCCTTTCGGTTGGCTCTCATTCTCTCTTGCCTGCTGCCATGTAAGACGTGCCTTTTGCCTTTTACCATGATTGCGAGGCCTCCCAAGCCATGTGGAACTGTGAGTCCATTAAACCTCTTTTTCTTTATAAATTACTCAGTCTTGGGTATGTCTTTATCAGCAGCATGAAAATGGGCTAATACTATTGGTCAGCCCTCCTTTGATGATGTGGTATCTGGTGAAAGTTTGGGATTACGGGTTTTTTACTATGTCTGCAAATGGGGGCCTCCTTCAGCTTCCAGTTTCCTTAGAGATAGACCTTTGTCTGTCACCTGCATATCTGTCTGGGACCTGTACTCAGAGGATGCCCCGCTTGGTACATGTCACAAAGCCCAAGGTGACATCTCTGGGGCAAGCTATTCCGCACGTCCTCAAGGCCTCCGTCTTTGCTAAACGTGAAACTCAAGTGTGCTTAGCTAGCTGTGTGGGAGTTTTCAGCGTGCTGGCAAAGCCTCCTCGTTGCTTCAGGGCTGGAGGTGGCTGAGATGTGTGTGAGAGCTTTCTATCAAGGTTCAGGGTGTTTCCTACCTCTGTCCGGTAGAGCTTTGGGTGTTGTGAACAGAGGGCCTATGAGAAACTCAGGCCTTTGATGTTGCCTTGGATTTGTGACTCCACCACCAAGTCGCTGAAGGTAACAAGATGTACCCACATGAACCCTTCAGTGCACAGATTGTCAAAAACTCTAAGAATATTGTTTGCCCATTTTAAGAAAATGCTCACATATCAGCTGCCCCACCACCCCCTTTCAGGCACTTAACAATATTCTGGTTATAGGTCTTTAACTACAATTTGCATAATGTAAACATATGACTGACTCTTATAAATCTGTTTCTCATTTGTATTGGACTTAATTTTTTTTGTTGTTTTCAAGAATGTACTATAATAAATATTCATAAGCTCCAAGACATCTCACTATGGACCATTCGTTATATATAATAGCACTTTAAATAACGTTTCGAAATGTTTTCCTACTGCTGTGGGCTCAATTGTGTTGGCTGTGATTTTGCATGGTTTCAAAAAAAGCACTCAGGTGTTCCTGGAGCCCCACGCTCTCGCTCTTTAATCCGGTATTTGGAAGCAGACATGAGTTCTTTCCCAAACAACATCGCACATTTCCAGAGCATGTCTTGTGACTTGAAGCATGTGGACTGTGCAGCAGCCAATGGTATCAGGGACCCTCTTCACAGCTTTGACAAATGTGTCACCTCCCCTCTATGCTTAGCTGTGACCGTGGAGAATGCTATCACTAGTTCCTTTGTCACTTTCTTGGAGAAGTTCTATTTGTGAAGGCCGCGCATGTTTGTGTATTTGTGTGTTTAAATGGAAGCTAAAGGAATCAGAAGCTGTTTGATAAGCCCTGGGTGTGAGTTAATTATTGATAAGGTGGTTGAATTCATCACAGTCACTTCCGATAACTCCGCAAGCAAATGAAAAACATCCTGGAATTGTGAATTCCCCTGTGGCAAGTGGTTATCGTTCGTGGTGGCAGTCTGCTGTTATGATGTAAGTAATGAAGCTTTCCACCTTTCCCCTTTAAGAAACTGTGACTTCACTTTCCCTACAGTGGGGGTGAGAGGCGTGTGTCCTTGTCCCCGTGGCTCCTGGCATACTCTTTCTGGATGCTTCTCTGGACAGAGGCTGGTTTATATTCTTTGAGGGGACATGGCTGAAGGCTGCCAGTAACCTCCTTTCCTAGGTTGCTCCTGTGTCTTTGTAAGGACTTCAGCTTTCACTTATGTCTCCTTATTTTTTACTTCATTTATTTCCGCTTGTTTTGTTATTCTCATTTGTTAATTATTAATGGATCTCAAATGTTTACAAATATTAAAAAAACTTTTCTCATCAAAAAAGTTGTGACCTTTTTTTCATCTTCCGTGTAAAATCAAAAGCACTCATCCTAGCCTTCAAGATTGACATCAGATGATGACCTTCAGCTTTTTCTGTTTCTTCCTGTGTCCTGTGCAGCATAATAGGATGAACATGGACTTTGATGTCAGATGGAGCTGACTTGGAATCCTGGCTCTGCCAACTGACTGGCAGAGGGGATAAGTTATTTAACCTCTTTGAGCATCTGTTTCATCGTTTGCAAAATGGGAACAGCTTACCTACTTCACAAGACAGTTGTAAGAATGAAATTATTTATGGCAGGAAATCCGATGCACTGGACCATCCCAGGGCAGAGCCTAGGTATGAAGTCTGCAGAGCTCCCAGACTCCCCCAGGAAGTGCACCCTGGCTTGTTTCTCCTCTGTCTTTGCGCATTGTGTTAGAGAAGAATGGACTTCCGAGTGGGGGGCCTGTTCGGTAGCTTCTGGTGAAAGTTTGGCAGTTGGAATCACCGCCCTGGCAGATTCTGCTTGGGGACTT